TTGTTAGAAACTTCTTTCGCACTCGACTGTACAGATGGGTGCTGAGTCATGTTTCTTCTTATGGCTGCTGAGATGCTGAGTCATGTTACTTCTCAAGCTGTTCCAGGTTCTGCGGAGCTGAGACTGCAGATACTGATGATGTTAAGCCTCAGAAATGGAAAACTCCGAGCGGAGAATTCCCTGGAGGTTTCCAACATCCCTAGCACTAGCGCTTGAGAGTGATGCATCCGCTCAGCCTGTGAGCTGCCTGGCTGAGCAAGCCTGCAGCTACTCTTGCCGCAGTGACCTAGATAATCAGCTTAGATGCTGACCTCAGCCAAGACTCATCAGCTCCAGAGAGAGCTGTTGATTCTGGAAGCCCAGTCAGAGTGGGGCCACAGACCGGAGAGCTCCTCCTGGGTGGAGATGAGATGATCGTTTCTTTTGTGTATAGGCATCACGGGAGGTGCAGGACTAGGCTGAAGTGAGAAGCTTTCTAATAACACCCCCCCACACACCACAACCTTCCCCGCACCCTTCAGGGTGCACTCCAGTTAAGAGTTTAAAGTGTACGTTCTACAAATATCAGGACTTCTCTGGGTTCTTGTTGGGCCTGCCTCAAAACTAACCTAGCCGGTGTGGCTAGGTTAAAAAATGTCTTCTCAAAGACATTTTCCAAAAAGGAGGACTTCTCAAAGACATACTGCTCCAAGCTGGCTGAAAGGGTTAGGGCACCTGACCTCTACTGAATCACCTGAATAAAGCTTTCTCAGGAATAATTCCCACAAGATGCTAACCAAAGCTTTACATCCTGTGCTATGCAGGGAGTCTTGCTTATCCTCCTAGTGAGTTAGTACTCGAAGGCCAGGTAGCGCCTGCCGTCTTATCTGAAGCCTCTCTTCCTGGGCCTGCCTGTTAGCCTTCAGGACGACCCACTGTTGCTCATTGGTCACAGAGTGACAGCTTTGCTCCTGACCCCTCTCCTATCCCTCAGAAAGGTGATTTTGAGCAACATAAGGGAAATCAGGCCTGATAGTTGTCTACCCTGCAGGCTATGTGGAATTAGACTTTTATTTTCTCAGCTGCTCAAATCTGGTTTGCTTGTGATTTATGTCATTATTAGTGAAAAGAAAAGAAACACAGGTGCTTTTTTGAGATGAGACAGTCAATTATATGAATGGAGTTTAAAAGTTGGAATGTTTTCCTGTCTCAAAATGTTAGTAAAACATTGTGCAAATTAACGTACCCAAACTAAAAAATATTGACTCAGCACTGATACTTTAATTCAGATATATAAATGAGTGAAATTAATAAAACAAATTTAAGATACAATATGTCAGATAGACCAAGAGAATATAAATACTTATTTTTCCAAACATCACCTGTTTATTATTTGTTTTTCTATAATTGCTCCTGCTAAAAGCCAGAAATGAAGCAAGGTGGTTTACTTATAAAAAGCATGCCGCATATGTGTCTTTATCTGTGTTCTATTGCTGTGAAGAGACATCATGGCCAAGGCAACCCTTCTAAAGGGAAGCATTTCACTGAGGCCTGCTACAGCTTCAGGGCCTTAGTCCATTGTCATCATGGTAGTAAGCATGATGTCAGGCAGATGTAGTGCTGGAGAAGCGGGTAAGAGCTAGATCCTGATCTACAGGGCAAGAAGGGAAACCTGGGCCTGGCATGGACTTTTGAAACCTCAAATCCCATCCCCCGTGACACCCCCACCTCCAGCCCCATAACAAGGCCCCTCCTAATCCTTCTCAAATAGTGCCATTCACTGTTGGCTAAGCCCGCAAATATATGAGTCTGTGGGGGACATTCTTACTCAAACCACTAAAGCAAGTGACCCATAAAACTGAAAAATACTGCTTGCTAGTAGCCACATAAATTTCAGGGGAAATAGGTTTGTATGGGGATGATTTATTATAGAAATCAAAAGCCATAAGAAATTGAAAACAGCAATCCTTAGGCACTACACAAAATTAATTACTCACAAGTGTAATAAGTATCATCTATACAATACACTTGAAACTAATAATTTTAATTGTCTTTTTATGAGAAGAAATCTGGGAGACCATGTGCAGTGAAATGAAGAATGATTTCTCACACAGAACCTCCTTTGCTATATGAGACTTCCTACTTAGCCCACACAGACCTTCTGCTATGCACATAAATGAGGCTTTTCCTCTACAAGGAGGCATTTTGTTGGAGTACATTTGCTTTTCTTTCTCCTGTGTGCTTGTGTCCTGTAGTTATCCATTCAGATTCAAAAGTGTGATGCCATAGCCGTGTTTCTGGGAAGAAAGAAAATGCAACCTTTGATTCCTTTTCCAAAGGAAAAGCCAGAAACTCTGAGACATTTTCCATCTTGACTTATGGAGAGATTAGTCCAAGTTGGAATATTTTTCCTACAGTAGTGATTTATTACAGAAGTAGAAAGAATTTATTGAAAGCAGTAAGAAAGTGGTACTTATTCCACTGGTGTGGCCTGAAGGAAAGATAAAACCATGGAGTTCACCTTACAGTCCCTTGCTTTTAGCTAAGAGGCCTTTGTGGCCTCTTATTTGTTTCTGCATTCCATAAATTTCTTACTAAGAGCCAAGGACATACTGGTGGCCAATTTTGTTCTTCCTTCAGAAGCGGCAGCAGTCAGACAAAATGAAACCTTTAGGGTACTGAGCACACTTAGAGTTTAGAAATTTTAGTAACACAGTACCCTGTGCTTTTTCAACCTAATGTGGATAATACAGAAGAGTCTAATCTCTCTGAACCAGTGTTCCTACTTCATAGATTTCTTAGAGATTAAAACAATGCTACTAACACTATTAGAAGAAAAGTTAGCTTATAAGGAGTGTTGTATAAATATCAGTGATACAAAGTTGTATTCAAACAAAAGCTATTACAATTTTGATATATTTGTCATTTTCTATAAAAAAAACTAGTTGCTTTTTTAATCATGAGATGGATAGAATTCTTAAATTTTAAATCAAAATATTCAGACAAGTATCGAATGTGTAACTCAGTGAATTTTCATAAATTGAACACTATTGTAGCCACACCATGAAAAATCTCATTTTTTCATCAACACTGGTCTCAGTGCTGTGAGGAAGAAGTCCATTTTCTTTCTTTTTTTTTTTTAAGATTTATTTATTATTTATACAGTGTTCCTCCTGCAAGTACGTCTGCACAGCAGAAGAGGGTACCAGATCTCACTCTAGATGGTTGGAAGCCACCATGTGGTTGCTGGGAATTGAACCCAGGTCCTCTGGAAGAGCCCAGTGCTCTTCCTCTGAGCCATCTGAGCCATCTCTCCAGCCTCCCGGAGTCCATTTTCTTAATTCCCAGCAGTAGAGATTACTTGGGCTCACTTTTATTTAGAGCTTAATCATGCCTAGGCATAGTCTTAACCTTATTCTCGTATATGCCATGAGATATTAATATGCATCATGACACTTCATGCTACCTGTATACAGGTAAGTTCTTTAAGTTTGTTCTTGTTTTCCTAGCAAAACTTCGACATAAACATTGGCTAGCTCCATCTTCTCCTCTCTCGCTCCGAGGAGCAGAGCGTCCTGGCAGTATAGGCCACCAGTCCAGTGAGGGTTATTTCTTGTTGGAGTAGAACTTTACTTTCAGCAGCTATGTCTTGGCAGAGCGCATGCAACTTCTGTCTCGTTTTCCTCCGCTCTTTGTGGAATGGGAACAGCAAAAAGTTCCACCTTCATGGAGTTGTTTTAAGGATAGAAATCAAGTGTTTATAAAGCACGTATTTGGCTTTGTTGCTGTTTGATTTGAGCTAGGGCCGCTGTGCGAGCACATCAGCACTTCAAAAGCATGCTTTTAAGTCTACAAAATATATTATTGGTCATATTTCACTTTCCTAACCTTTCTGATATCAATTATTTTGGCTTTTTTTTAGGGGGGAGGGGCAACTATAAGAAACCTTTGCAAATGAGATCTTCCTATGCTGCCCAGGCTGATCTCAAACTCCTGCCTCAGCCCCCGAAATAGCTGGAACACATGCTCCTAGCATGGGTGCATTTTTATTGTCTTGCTTCTTGGTGATGCTAGGGAATAACTCAGAACTGGTTTGTGCTAGGCAAACACTCTCCCACTGAGCCGAAGCCCCAGCCTCAGCGTTAGAAGTAATGTCTAAAGGCCATGCACACAATGTTCTTAACACGCACTAATACTGTGCATTTCTATGACTTTACTAGTTGAGTCCTATCATTGGACAGTCACTGAAGCTGCTCCTGCTTGGCTTGGCTTTCTGACTTCAGAGGAGCATGGCTAACTGCCACTTCACTGCTGGAGGGAAGGAAATGTTGTTCCTAAGGTCCTCCTTTCAGAGCCTGCTCAAACCAACAGAGGTGGCCCTCAGAAATAATCCCCCCTTAAACTCAGTATGTTACACTGATTTGTTTAAGGCAGCAACATCTGTTACCAGACACTGGAAACATTTGAGGGGCAAATTCATTATTAGCATAAACCCTGCAGAGCTGCAGGCTGGGTCTGAGCAGGAAAATTTGCCTGAAGCTTAATGATCATCTAAGGTCAAGGCTGGCCGCAGCAGTCCCATGATTAACATTTCCAAGCAAGCCATTAATCTTCAGGAAATGCTTAGAATTTTGATTGCTGTTTGCATAATTGAGGTTGTGAATAATTTAGTAAGGAATGATTACATGAGTATTAGAACAAGACAGAATTTTTCTAACATCCAGGAAGTACTTCCTCGTGAGCACATTTCACAGCTGTAAACATTGAAATAGTGCAGGTTTCAGAAATGGAGATTCCAGGTTTGTGAAGATCTGTCACAGGTTTAGATTAGTAAAAGAAAGCATCTTCTTGCTAAAAGGAGAAGCAGGCACTAACATATTCTTACAATGTAAAAAAGCCCAGATAGTTAAAATAGAGACAACTTTCATTAAGTAAAATTTTTTTAATTGTTGTAATAATATTGTGAAATGTAACACTGAAACCTTGAATTTTTCATTTTCATAAACTTTCTGTTTTTGCAGGTCAGAAAGCGTTCTTTGTTTGATATCATTTCTTTTCCAGCAAAAACTGCGTTAACTAGCATAATGTATGCCTCCTATGCAGCACTAATCTATTTGGTAAGTTACTGTTAGATTCTAAAATAAATGTGTGTATGCCATCTAGCATTAGATGTCCTGGACCCGGCAGCAGTCTAGCCACACCACAGGCTATGCAAAGTAACTTCAAGTGGTTGCTTCTCTGACAAGCTAAATTCACCCCTTGCCCAGTTTGCTTATCTAATTAAAATTACCTTACTTCTCTAAAGTTAATTACTAATTTAGTCAAAACTAGTTTAACTTTCGATTTGAGGTATCCTGTTGACTTGTTATAGCCATTGTCTCATGATGTTGTTAGTTCAGTATTTCATCATTTGGGATCTATGACTTTAAAGAACAGTTACTACATTTTGATATACAAATCCTGTCCATTGCTGTGTAGTGTTCTAGTGATTTGCATTTCTTTTTTTTTTTTTCCCATTCAACTACCAATGGACATGTTAGATTGTTCCTAATCTGAGCTTTTATAAAGTTGCCATACAGATATTTGCCCATATTTTTGGTTGAAATTGCAAGGCTATCAGATCTTTATGCATTTATTGCTAACAGAAGTAGCAAAAAAAACTTTTAAAATGGTTTTTAGCAATTAAAACCCATCCTAGATCAAAATAATCCTATATGACATTAGGGTGCTAGATATTGTCAATAATTTATATTTTAGCCATTTTGAAAGTGAGTATTATAATACCAATTTTTATTTACATGTCCTTGATTAATAATGAGATTGATTACCATTGCATAACTGGCATCTGTGAATTTCTGTTAGTCTTTTATTTTTCTGAGAGACATTTAACTCTAACTTATTGGTTTTGTTTTGAAAATATACTCCAGGATATTCTTGTTTGATTTCATCTTTTCACTTTGATAGGAGTATAATTTCTTAATTCTAATGTATTTCAGCTTATTAATATTTTTCTTTATATTGTGTGGGTTTTTTTTTCTGTTTAAATAAATCACCCAAAGGTCATTGGAAGATTCTCATCTGTTATATTCTAAAAGCTGTATTATTTTGTCTTTCACTTATAGATTTATAATCCATGTGGAATTGGTATGAGGTCAGAGACAAACAGTTGCCCCAATGGTACCCAATTATATAGCCTTACTTATCAGGAAAATCCTTTTTATTGTCTTAGAACATTATTGTCACAAGTACGTTTTGTATGTGGGTCTGTTTATAAACTCTGTCTAGCTGGTTTACCTATTCTTGAACCACTTTTGCTCTCTGAATTGTGTGAGCTTCCTAAAATGTCTGTATAAATGGTAGGGTAAGTTCTTCTAATCTAAGAAGATGGAAAATCCTCTGTTTATTTTGGTCTTTTGAAAGTTTTCCTAACAATTTTTATGATTTTATTATACTTCTCATACTTTTTTGTTTACTTTTATTATATTGCAACATAAAAATGTAACCTTTTCCCATAATCTACAAGTCTAATGCAGTCCAAATTAAAATCCAAATATGTGTGTCTAAGTCGATTAACTGACTCTAAATTGTACAGGGAAATCTGGGAATAAAATGGAGCTCTGTTGGTAGGGCTCTTGTCTAATATGCATGAAAGTCTAAGGTTTGGTTTCAAGCAATGCATATATGAATTCGACATGACTGTGAGAGCCTGTGATCTCAGCACACAAGAGGTTGAGGTGGTAGGGTCCAAACTGAAGGGAATAAGAGAATATGTGTTGCTGTGCTTTATAGTGAGGAGCAAGTAAGACAAGAGGCAGGAGAACAGTCTGAGGCCTCAACCCTTTTGCTGTTATCCTTTCAAGAAAACCAGAACTGGATCTACCTGCACAGGGACTGTTCTGATGCCTTCTGTAGTAAGATGGTGGAACAGAAGGGTCCTTTGCATGACTCTGCAAGTGAGAAGAGTCAGCACAACAAACTATATTCTGAGGACAGAAAGAGGAAAAGCTATAGGAATCAAGACAGAGGTAATGGGAGAACTAAAAGACAGAGAAACAGCAAGACAACTCAGAGAAAAGCACAAAATGATTAGAAAGTCTAACTTTGGCCCCCAGCAGGGCTCAGGGGGACGTTGTTTGTGCCAGAATACCCAGTAAGCCAGAATGCAGACAGTCCCAGTGAGAGCATCATCCTGTCTTAGCAGTGGGGGAAACCCAGAACACGTGCAAGCCTGGATGTCTAGTGCTGTGATTTGTTCTGAAGTGATTCATTGCTCATGCCTTGTCAGCTTATCGCCAGGATACAGTGTGAGAAGAGCACTGTTAAGAACTAAACTCCTCTGGATTTCACGCTATACAGAACTGTCAAAATTCAGAGTGTAAGCTGTGGGGCACAGTGGTCAGTGGCACATTCCTCTGAGGGAAGGAGAAGAACAAGTGGTGTACTGAAAGGAGTGCTGAGAGAAGGGGCGGTAGACTGTTCACTTCCCACAGGGCTCCCTCTCCCCTCCTATCACCAGCCAGAGGTCAGCAGTCTGCTAGCATCCCATGCTTTGCCTCTGAAGATACACTTTGGATATTTGCCAATGCCCTGGAAGATACAGACTGAGGACATCTTGAGTAAGGGAACACTCGACTATCACAGATTGGTGGGGTTCATGTGGAGCCAAACTTCAAGAGAGGAGTACCCACCCAGCCCCTAATGGGGCTTCTTGGCATGCATACAGAAAACCTTTGAGGTGAATGCAGCTCTGCCTCAGCCATATATATATTCTTGACCAAGCCAAGTAGAAAATGCAGGGCAGGGCAGGGCAGGGCAGAGCAGAGCAGAGCAAGGCTCAGTCTGCACATAGCACTCTGTTTGATGGGCAATGTTATGACCACTGGCCTTATCTCTGTCCCACTATCCTCATTTCCCCACCAATCACATTTGCTAGAATGCAGAATACAGTAGAGGACAAAGAAAGAAACATTCAATCTATGGACCTCAGCTAGAAGGAAGTTTTTAGTGTTTTCTTCCTTTCTTTACATTATTTTTTTCTTGCTTATGTTTAATTTTACTTTTTATTTTAATTGAATTTTTAAATTTCTCTTACTGCTTTTAGCTCTTTAGTTTATTCTCTATTATTTCTGCCTCTTTTCTATTTTTATTGGTGGTGGTATTGCTGTTTTGTTTCTTAGCTGTTTGTTGTGTTTCTATGTCGAGAAGGTTTTCCTGTTCTGTGATTATTATCATCTCTTTGAGTGATACTTCATACAGAACTCTCAAAAGAAGGCTTCTTAGTAAGAAGACCCTTGCATAATAAAGTAGAATAGATATTAGAGAAACTTATTCTAAGTGAAATAATAGCAGAAAACTTCCTACATGTCCCCAGTGCAAGAACAACTTAAGACCAAGTAGAAATGACCAGAAATGAAAAATCTGGATTTTTGTGATTTTAAAAGTACATGCTAATAATGTTTATTATTAGCCCAATAATTATGGTGGTATTATTTAACCTATTATAATCATGAAAGGACATAGACCCCTGATAGATTTTATAATTGCTTTATATCACCTTGGGCTGGGTAGATAATTCCACCTACACTATTCATATCTGCCTGCTCTCATCCCATTCCATCTGCTTTAATAATCCTAATTAGGCTACCTCCCATCCATAATCCCAAATATTTGCTAATGTTCTTCATCTGGGCCAATCCTTTCCACACCATTCGTGGAGTTTTTTCTCCTGGTCCACATGATCTCTTCATGTCTTCCTCCTTCTCTTCCTCTCCCTCTGGTGATCCTCTCCTACCCCCCAAAGCCCATCAACCTTGGCCAAACCTCTCTATCCACCTTGCCCAAACCTCTCTATCCACCTTGCC